CAATAAAAATCCTGCATTCGGCCTGCGGTGTACTGGTACAGACCACCCATCTGGTGGACGACGAGAGTTGCTGGTACCGGGTTACCGGGTAGCACAGCCACAAGGGGACCCTGGGAAAAGAAAGTCATTGATCGAGTTCCTAGTCTACATATCAAGCGCCATGAGCATCTTTTACATGGATACCGGCGCTATACAAATCGACACCATCATTATTATTATTATTATTAATTATTATTATTATTATTATTTTCATTATCATTATAATTATTATAAATATATAGGCCTATATATATATAAGATGTGTATAAGAGACAGGTACAATACGTTTATTACTGATGAGGATAAAAGGATGGGGTGGAATTTTCAAAAGTCTTGCACCTGCAAATCTGTAACTTGGAATGTCTGCTATTTCGATGAGTGCTGCTTAACGTTAGATTAAACCCTCTAGTTTGGCCTTGGCTACAGTCGCTGAAACATTTTGGGGCAGCGACGCTACCACAAGTAAAGATACTGGACCCCAGTGGCAAAACCCACAAGTTAAAAAAATATTAAATAATACTTTTAGCAATAAAAGTGAATTAAGTAATTGTTTAATGTTAATTAAATTCTTTAATTTGGAATATATAGAGCTTTTAACTAGGTACTTGAGGAATATATTCAACATTCCTGGATATTAGTTTGTTTGCTTATTATTGCTTCAAAGTGTAGTGTTTTGTCATGAAATTTTTAAAGCATTGGTAATAACACTCATTCAGTAAGGTGTGTCACACTACCACTGATAGTTCTTACCTCCCCCACCTAACCACATTTCTTAACTATTCGTCTTTCTGCCCTTAATTTTCATTCTCCTATCTAATTTATTTATGCTTTTCTATACATCTTTTTCTTCATCTGTTCTCATTTCTCGCCTATATCCTTCAATTATTTATTTTCTCAGCCTCTCCTGACTCACCTGTTCATTCATATATATATATATATATATATATATATATATAGGCTATATATATAGGCTATATGTATATATATTTATTTATTGCCACAGATTTCAAATAACTTATGAACGATAAAGTGTAGCCGCGTTGGTCTTGTATAGAACAATATAAGAAATGACAACAGCACTTTTAAGACTAATTTGTATAAAATTTATTCTCTAGCTTTCATCCACACGGAGGACTTCATCAGGAGACATCCCGTTTGCACAGCCTCATGATGAAATCCAGTGTGTGGACAAAAGCTAGAAAATAAATTTTAAAATCAAGTTCGTCTTAAAAGTGCTGTTGTCAGGTCAGATTATTTTATTGTCCTGTTTTCATTACACTTCATCTTCCCTGTCCTTTTTTCCTTCATCTTGGTTACTTTGACTGCTTAATCTCATTTGTAACAAATGAGATAAAGCAGTCAGAAATTTTACCAATCATCTTTTGTAGTTCATATTTCGAAATATACATTATTTTTTTGCTGTTACATTTTCGAAAAGTTTTATTTGCAATATTTAGTAATAATAATGTATTTCCATTGTTAATGTTGATTATTGTTCCTGTTTTAACGCAATATGCTAAACAGTATGTCGCAACTTAGCAGCTTGAAGTTAACATAATCATCCACATTTTGAATGTTTATATGGTATTATTAGGCCATTGAATTGGTCACATAAGCATTCATTTGTATCATTTATAATAGCATTCCTCTTAGTTTCATTTGGCACTTTATTTCCCGAAATATTACATATGTTGTATCAGTGAATGATTGCTTACGCTACTAGCTATTTTGTGGCAGAAAAATAAACTAAATATTTGCCTAGATTTGCCTGATAATGTCGTCGCCATTCGTCATTATCTTCTTGTAATTTAAGACACTATTTTACAGAATTAATATTACGCGACACCAAGAAAGAATGAGAATTATAATCGTCATCTGTAGTAATGGTATGTTAATTCAATCAAAATCCGAAAAATGACCCCATGAATGGAATGTAACTTTTAATTCGCATATACATTTGCTTGGACAGTATTCGTATTTGGTTTTTAAATGTTTGCTTTTATGGCTGCTGGAGAATCTCTCGATATTCGGCTCATTTCTTGAAATCCCGTACTCCTAAAATAATTTTGCTTACAGTAATTGTTATCTGTTTTGTAATTGAAAGACGACGTAAATGAGATGAAATAATTTATTCAGACACGGATCCAGCCGGGTGGGAGGGGGGTGTGGGCATGAGGGCCCGTGCCCCGTTCCCCTCGGTCGAGCCGAAAAAATAAAAAAGAGGGATAAAAAATGTTAGTTAAAGAGAGGAAAGGGGCAAAAGGGAGTGAGCCCATGAGTTCAGTGGCAATCCAGCTGTGGGTGAAAGGAGAGCTCGATTCTTTACCACTTATTTACACCAACCATGGCGGGGCGGAGGTGGGCGTGGCGGAGGTGGGCGTGGCGGAGGTGGGCATGGCGGCTTGAACTTCATATTGTGGCCCCCCCCCCACCGCCAGAAACTCTGGATCTGCCCCTGTTATTTGAAAATTAGCCTTTTAGTGACAAACGGCAATTGATGCATTCATGAATGTTGTAACTTAAAATGCCATAGTGAAGCTCTAATAATCATATACATTATTTTCTTTTAACACGGTGGATTGGATAGCCCATAAAAGTCTAGAAGAAGACTTATTTCCGGTGGGGTCTTTCTGGTGGTGATTGGGCAGTACACAGGTAAACAATCTCCTAATTCTTTTCCTAATCGAAGAGTGTACTTCGTTCTTTAACGTGCACATGGTCCATAAATACACGCGGGACCAACGGCTTAAAAGTCTCATCCGAAAGACGGTGCGCTATTGTTACACAATGAGAGCAGGGGGATGGAAATTTAAAAAGTGCAACGCACACATACATTTTTGATTGATTCCCTCATTGTATTTTATTCACATTCTTTTCTCTCGTAACTTATAATAGCTATCACCAAATTGTTTTTCCAGTGGCGGCGTGCGGCCTAGAAACCAGAACAATTTTTGTACTAAATAAAGAATAATCAAATATAATCTCAGCCAGAGTGATAACAATTAGATATAAATATATTTTTAATTAAATGTATGCTCTAGTTTCATTTTAAAAATGTTGAAACGAACAGAGATAAACACATCTAAGTAGGAATTCAAGTCCACACAATCTTTAGAAAGTATGCTAATAATCTTTGCCAGAACATGATAAAATGTTTTAAATATAACAGTTTTGTAGAAGCCAATATTGAATATGCTGACATTAACCTTAAATTAATTAATGATTATTGAATAACTCTTTTCTTATTTGCCATGTATTTACTAACAAGTTGTTGATATATTGCATAAAAATTAAATTAACTTTTTTCAGCATTGCTCTCAAGCCAATATTGAATATGCTGACATTAACCTTAAATTAATTAATGATTATTGAATAACTCTTTTCTTATTTGCCATGTATTTACTAACAAGTTGTTGATATATTGCATAAAAATTAAATTAACTTTTTTCAGCATTGCTCTCAGCGTACAGTATTCTTTCCCAAAAAACAGAGGGCGCTCACATGTTTGGGCAGTATATGAGCCACAACCCCAACTTCATATGTTATGTTTTCCCCGTGATACGAAATGGTTAGGTTATTAGACCGGGAGCCCAGAAAATTTAATCATGTGAAAAGAGACAAAAGGTTTGATGGTCTGGTCATGATAGTATAGGGCCAAGATACAATATTCAGTATTGCTGCCGGGGCACATCCTGTACAAGTGGGCTGGGGGAAATGAAATAGGGGGTTAAATAATGCATTTAATCATGTGGAGAGAGACATGGATAAAAATAATTGGATATTACTCCCAGGTAGATACTTGCAATAATGTCACAGGTGACAGCAACTTTTACCTGTACGTGACCTTAAACAGTAACATTAAAGGCCACGCCCAAATACA